ACATACCTATGTATCTTATACCTTGTATGTAAATAATATAATAAATTTGCATTGGTACGTATATTTGTTAAACTACGGAAAAGACATCTGAGATTTCATGAATATAAATATTCTTGATCTGACGTCGAGAAAAATTGGTTTAGAGAAGTCGATCTGTTTCTCTTAGTATCTACTTTAATACAAACCAGTCACTGCGTTTTAGTAATACAACCATTATGTACATGGTGTGAAGAGGTTATATATTAAGTATACCACTGTGCTCCTACTAAAGTAGATCAGTCGGTTCAGGAGTCATCTAGTCTAATCTCAAGAGTCTTTTAGGCCTGCTCATCAAAATCACTTACTCCAGAGATGTCTATTTGCCTGCCTGAGTGTCTGTCTGTTTCAAAATATTCTATTTCCTTTACTTTTGAATTTACTGAATGGAATTTTTCTCATTTTACACTTTATATATAAAAACTTTATGAAGTTTACTTTATTATTTATTAAAATTGGAATTTGCTATTGTAATTTAGTTTAATGTTAGGCATTAGTATAGAGAAATAAACAAAGTAGAGTTAACAATAGAATAAAAACTGATTTAGAACTTGAATGAAACAGATATACTCATAACTATTATTTCTGAAGGAGTGGTACTTCTTTTTGTTGTTTTTTTTATTTTTTTTAGGTAAAGGTTGAAAAACATCTAACAGTTGTAGTATATTCGATTTGAACGGATTACAAAACTGCCCTTTAGCATCCGGACCTAATCTTTCTTTGAGTTATTGAAATATTACAATGCGATAAGACCTCCAGATTATTTTTCCTTTATTTTAGCCTGTGATCAGATATTCTTTCGTTTTACCTTTGCGCCTTTTCAGCTTCGAAAACAGCTGGGTTTCTTTCTTTTTCTCATCGTGTTTATATATTTTCGGAACAATTTTCGAAGTCTATCTTTTTCTTGACTACCAGCTTTATTGTTTGTAGTCTGGAAGGTTTGTTCTCTCGTGTGCTTGATGTTGAATGAACTATTGTCCGATATCGGCTCCCAACGTTTTCTTCGTTCATATGCTTGAAGATCGCTGGGAATATTACCGACAATCACCAGGGCAGCTGACTTTGATCCTATATGGCACACTAAAACTTTTCTGAGTTCTCCACTCCGATGTACAGCTGCATAAATTTTACTTCTGTCTTTAAAGTATCTGTCAACAATTTGCTTCGATATAGCAGCATTTCGTTTATGGTCGACGTGTTTATTTAGCCATGTTGACACTTTCATAATCACGATATTGGAAAGAAGCATCTTAGATTATCGGATTACATCATGTACTTCCTTGTGGAATTCGTATATAAGATGTTAGAATTTAATTAAAACTGAAATAATGGTGTCATTATCAGTACGGACTGAGGGATTCTCTTCTTCCTGGTTTAATTTCTTTTTTAGAAGAAGGAGATTAAAAAATGCTTAACGCATTGCTATGATGTCGTTACAAGAAATGAAAAACTTTTCTTTATCCCGTCGTCTTATTCTTGCTAACGGATTATCGAAACATTACTTCAAGACAGATCCTCAAGATTGTGCGATTTTTTCTCATTCATATTCTAGAGTTATATGTCTGTGTACAAGTTTGACTACACATGTAGTACATAGAAAAAATGAAATATTGGAGAGCACTATAATATACTTTTATAAAGTAAAGTATAGCGTAGTATCATATGATACAAAATGAATAGAATTAGTAACCATAAAAAATTTGATAATTAACCTGACGAGAATGAAACTTGGAAACTGATTAAGTAGGATCATTTTTTCTAACATCATTTACATATAACTGTACTAAAACTTAATAATTTTAGAACTTACACGCCGCCGAACCTATTTTAAATAAGATTGTGATGCGATCAGACAGTGATCTGTCAATACACCAATTAATGTTCTACAGTTCGGCTATTATTTATATTAATTATTAATTATTTAATTTTGTTTTAATCTCTGAATGTTATCTGAATTGGCTTAGGTCTCTATGAGTCGTAATACCTTTTAATGAATAATAGGTATTTTTTTCCCAGATTACGAAATCTACATAACTGTTCCACTTACCAGATAATATTTTACTAGAGTACTGACTCAAACGGATGCAAAACTAAGAAAATAAACAAATTTATTGATTTAATTTTTAGGTCAGCCAAAGACAAGTCAAATAATTATGTATCTGAAGTACACGAAAATTATGTATATTTTTATTTGCTGCATTAAAGTGATTACGTTTTTCCTCGTGTAACGAAAAGCGTTTTTATTGGATGTTTTCCTTAAAGCGCATGAACCGGGCCTCGGCTCACGTGTGTTAAGCGGCTTATTTGATAATTTTTGTACCGGACAAAGCCTGACAAAGACTCATATGTATCTTTGGTAACTTTTCGCTTTTTACAAAATATTATGGCCACGTTTATTTGTCACACTTTAACGTTTTACTTACCAGCCAACTATAATAATAACGTTGGCCACATTTTCAAGACGTCTTCGTTATATAAAATTTTATGTGCTTCTTTGTAGGAATTAAAATTTTTTTCTATGCTTTAAAATTGCAAACATTTTAAGAATAACAAAAAACTAAGAAACAAAGTGTAAAAGATAAAAGATAAAAACTAAAAATTCAATAGAAATAAATTGACAAAAATCCAAATAAAAAATTATGTAAGTTTTTAAGCCCCGATTTTTAATGGTCACAATTATGCCAAATAATTTTTTTACTACATTTTTACTGTCATTATTATTACCATGGACAGCTTTTCTTTCTTTTTTTTGCGAATCAGTGCTTACTCCGGTCATTAAAGCATTTGTTTATAACTTTTTATTTGTGTATTGTGTTTATAAAAATATTGAATTAAATTTTATTATTAAACACTTGAAATTAGTATGCCCCAGACGTGGCTACTTCATGGTTGTTTTGTGGCCAAAAGTGTTTGGCAATGCCGTCTACGGAATTTATTTTGTTTGTTTATGAAATCTCAATTACACAATTTGTATGCGATAGTGAAAAGCCGTCTAGTTTTTTACTTGAACTTTTTGAACTGAGCTAAACCCAACTGAACTAGTATAACGAGACCCGCAATCGATCGAACGTTTGGGAGTTACTTAAACTTTAAGTTTCTCCTGACAAGACAGTCTCCTGCGTAGGAAAAATAATTATTACTTCAACCAATCGAAGTAATGTGATAAAGTCATGGAATGTATGGAATGTACCTTAAAATATCTTTGAAATAATTAAAAAAATTTGCAAACATCCAAATCAATCTTAAATATGTACATATTTTTTGAGTTCATGTATAGTGTGTGATGCAATTTTGATAATCTTATTACAATTTAATTAAATAAATATATAAAATTTATTGGTTTTAATTAAAAACAGAATATTTCTGACAAGATTTATTTTCAGTATTCAACGACAAATCATGTATTTTTTACTCTAACTCTCTAACTCTTTGATGCTTTCGAATTATTATTAAGCTCGCTGATCTGATCTATGGAGTACATAGAATTGGTGGCCGATTTTAACTAGAATTCGTAAAATTGAGTCTTCCTTATCATTCGCTTATACTGTGGCACATTATTTTTGATCGGAAAACAATTTCTTTTTCTTCATTTGATGTTGTTTTTAATTATATTATATATTAAATTAGATTATTGTTATATATTTTCTATTCAATTCAATTTTTTCTATTTTTAAGATAATCGATTAAAATTACCTAATCGTATTCCAAAATACAGTTATCACAACCCTTTTTCGCTAACTCTTGCACTTTTAATCGTTTTGACAACATCCGTATTCGATCGGTTAATATATTTCAGTATGTGATAAAGCTAAATATTATACATGACTATATATCATGTGAATGAACCTATCTTTCTGAGTTTAATTAGGTCTTAACAGCCCTTATAAATGCTAATATACTTCTGCTTTTAAGAACAGGCAATGTATTTTTTGGAAGATCTAAAGAGTTTGATATGTTCTGCACAGAAGTGACCAGCGAACTTGGATAATATTGAAACATTAACTATGTATTCTTGTTAAGTACTTATTTTTAACAATTGAGATATGTTACTATATATTTAAAGTAATATTTTTAAATAAGTTTTTATTAAATAAAAATTATTAAACTTTTTTTATTATTAATATTTAATAAACACATAATAACATTTAACATTTTTATTAATAATGATTATTAATAATATACAATCTATAGACTAGAAAAACAATAACTGATTTTGATATTAGAATAATATTTAGATAGGCGAAATCTCTTTATTTTCATGATTGCTTTAAAAATCTTTGTGAAAGTTATTTGAATAACTGTTACAGCAAATACATCTATCTTCCGATGTAGGTACATTGGGGTTCGTTTTAAGATATGAACATACAATCTTTCACTTTCACTTATGATCCAATGTACCCCTGCGAACGCAATGGAATGAAGAAGAAGAAGCTTTCACTCACTCGAACCCTTTTCCTTCGCTTGATATGTACACCTCGTTCACTGTTTATGTGTTGCATTGTAACTAACACAATTGAAAGAATAAATAATATATGGAGCTATCATATCACTTAAGAATTTCCAGAATTTGTCTAAAAATTATTCGATTTTTAGTTGACATGTTCCAAAAACTCAAATATTACCTAAATGTGGATGGGCATACATTCCTGTAATCATTTTCAATACACCTTCAATTGTCACTGTAAATTCCTCATTCATATTTGGCCTCAGTGTGTTTGAGCTAGCATCTATCTTATCAGTATTAAAACATCTTCAATTCTCATGATAAATTCAATTTTACTTTGAAGTTCAATATTCATATTCATATGAATTTATTCATATACCTATAATATATTGTGATCATATTACATATATAATTATATTCATATCCAAAATATTTAATTATACAAATAATACATATACATTTCATCCACATCCTTTTATTAAATCTTCGACTAACAACAATCTTTACTTTTTTGTTTCAGGCCTTCTGCAATTAAACAAGTTTCAAGCAGTTTGACTGCAACTTTTGCAGCAACAAAATGCAGTAGCAACATATCGTTTACCAAAGACCGTCAACATTTCATACAAAAGCCTGTCAACAATATCATTGTAAGTGGTAAACATGTTGGATATAATGAAAGAAACATTATCAACAGCAACAATGTTGCCAGTGTCGCTCGCAACAACTGATAATGTTAGCAAGAAATGTGAAGAAATAAAACAAAATTCGAATACGCAAATAAATTTATCACCAAATAAAACAAAAACAATTTTCAGTTGGTTAAAAAATGCAACATCACCAACAACAAAAACCCACTGTGACAATATAGAAACAATACCAGAAAATAAAAATATTGTGACAGTTGACTGTACGTGCAAAATAGTTACCGAGCGTATCGATAAAGTTGCACGGGCAAAGTCACCGGACGCGGCCTTACGCGAGTTTCGTGGTGTGCAAAGTTTACGACATTTGTGGAACAAACGGATCAGTAGTGCAAATACCGAAAACGCGCGTTCCAAGTCCAACAACAATAAAGCCAACAAATTAACAAAGTCCATTAGTTGCCTAGTCAATGCCGCCAATTCCATTGATGCACCTGACAAAAGCGAAGAATTGACAAAACGCCGTTCGTGGTTGTCAAAGCGTACACAAAGCCTGCACGACTGTACCCAATTACCGTATGAAGACGAAACGAGGGAACCATTAGAAAACAAAATAGATTTCCTGCACCGAGAGAAGGATAATTTTTATAAATACAAAACAGCTGAACAGGCAAGTAAACATCTCGTACGCTCTGCACCAAAAACCAAACGTGTCAGCGCTGGCATTGTGACCAGTACTACCACTAACGACGATGCGCACTTCCCAGCTATAAAAAGTAGTGAAAAAGGTGAACACATACATTGGCTCAAGCGTCAGGATATTATCATAAAGCGTAGGTGTAGCATAGAAGGTAAAGTGAATGAGTCAACTTGCCAAACATTGAGGTCCAAAAATAACGACGAAAATATGGCCATAAATGATAAAACAGTTAAAAATAAAGCGTCATCTTCACTCTCCAATGACAACAATGTGCTTATCAGTTGTGGTGGGAACGTGAGCACAAAGCAAACCTTAGCATCTGCTGATAGTCAAAGCGAATTGAGTGTCTCTTCAGATACTGCGGAAACGTTAACCGCCGCCAACTCTCCAAAAAATGTCGCTAGTCAGAAACGCAACGCGGTGCGCGAAACATTGTCCACGCCAAGTTCGTCGAGTTCTAAACGCGGTAGCACTGATTCTCTTGGCTCTAGTAGCACGACGATACGTAGCGCACGCCGAACGAACTCCTCCGCTGCACGTAAATGTAGTTTCAAAACGAATACGCGTTCGTTTCATTCGTTGCGTAAAATGAACAGCAATAAAGACAGCGCGTCCGCATCAACGGGCACCGGCACTACTGCGTTCAGTATGGTGGCTAAGTTAACACAACAGTTCAACGAAATTATACAGAAAGATAAGAAAATACTTGAAGAGGTGAAACGTAAGAACGGTGTGCTAATGTCACGCGGCGGTCATGTTTATAAAGTCATCGAGAAAACCGAATTTGATAAAACAAACGCTCATGCCAACAGTTTGAGTCGTAATGGCTCGCGTGCAAAAGACGCATCAACGGTGCAGCGTAACATCAAGAAATTCGAGAATGGCGTTGCCACAGTTGGGGAAAAACCAAAGGTACCCGCCAAAAGCCTACAAGTATTGCGAAAACGAAATGAAATGGCAGTGCAAAGGAATCACAAAACTGGGTTGGGTACTGCAAATGTGAAGCGTGCAAGCTTAACACTAAATCCAGCACAAACCCAACTGGAGTCTCAAAGCAAGTTGGCAGTGGTTACTGAAGAGACAAAAACACCATTGGAAAATGAGGAAAAATTAATGCCCACCGATTCACGTGTATCGCCGGACAAAAGTGGAGTTCTATTGCGGGTACAAGAAACTGCAAGTGTAAATACTAAAACAAATTTGTCTGAAAAGAAAGAAAACATAACAAAACCAACAACTGCTGTGAATGCCGTCACAACGTCCGTCACAAACAAAGTCGTCCCTGATGTCGACAAAAATGTTGATGCCGCAACGTGTGAATTGATAGCAGTTGCAAAGGAGCTGAGCAAGGTGCATGCAACAGGCGTTGTTACACAAGCTCAATTACAACCGATTGAAACACAAGTTAGTAAAATTAATGAGATAAATTCACCCACCAAAGAAACGGAACCCAAAACTGCTATCTCAAGTCAAGCAGCCAGTAACGAGAATTTAGCCGCAAGCGGTGATGATCTCGACGGCTTATACGATGAAAAATCCAAGCAACGCAAACACAAATATGCAAACATTTATGAAAAATTCCGTTTTCGTTCGCCGTTTCGCGGACAAAATAAGAAGACAACACCGAACAGTTCACCAGAAAAGCTTCAGGAGTGCAATAGTGAGGAAATACCAAATTTGCAATCTGAACCTGCGGCTAAAATTTTAGATGCGTTGGAGGTCATTGATCGAAAACTGAAAGATCTCACAGTTGAAGTTGAGCCCACAAACATTGTGCTGAATATGAACGATGACTTCGAACAGCGCGTTTTGCCAAACAGTTCCTTCATTTATCAACTGAACAACAAACAAGTTGCCAACAACGAGTTGCTAGTGACGCAAGCGGTCAACGTTGCGTTGGTCAATAGCATCGAAGGTGAGCAAATGATTATGGAACAAAAGGAACTACAAAATACAATGCTGATTAAGCAGCAACAAGGAGAGAGCACGGAAGTAGTTGTGGAGAAAGCATCAACTTCTGATACATTGGAAGAGGATATGTATGAACCAATTGCTGAAGCTGATGCAATAACAGAAACAAAGACTGAAGCTCTTAGCCCACAGCCATCCTCTCTATACAAACTTTGCACTGCCAACAAAATTACAGAGGTTGTGAACCCAACAAATCAAATTGTGGAATGTGTGGAAGATATTTATCAAACTGTTGAGGAAGCGCTATTAATTGACAACAAGACTGCTATAACTGCTATAACTGCACCTGCTGCAGTGATTACAACAACAACAATGAAAGTATCAGTAGATATTTTAAATGATTACGAATCCATTGCAGGTTCACGTGAGCAAACAACAAATATTATAGAAACATTGTTGGATGATGATTATGAAATATGTGAGCCACCACCAGATGAACCGGTAGTAACACAGTTGACCACACAACTCAGTACAGGCACTTTGATGCGTAATACCAACGACGAACTACCAGAACTGCCAAAACCGAAACGTCGCTTACCAAAATCTCCTATGCCAGGCAAGCGACCACCCAAACCCACAGCGCACTTAACAACTAATTTACACTGCAGCAATCCTGAAACGAACACTCAAGCACTTCCAGCCAAACAGTTTTCGGATACACTGCTACATCAAGACGATGACGACGAGCATCATTATTATGCGGATGATGAAAATATCTATGATACCATTAAAGGCTCACATTGCTATGAGTCTCTGCACTCCGAAATCTTGAAATATCAACATAAAACCAAACAAAATTCCATAGATTCGGTTTCTTTAATATCAAATGGCTATGAGAGCATCACGCAATATCGACGTGCAGTGGTGCATAATGGTAGTCCCAGTAGCGGAAGTGGTTCCACATTAACTTTGTCCTCCGATCATAAAACGAACAGTTTGTATGAGTCCACAATGACCACCAGTATGCTCTATGGCGTAGGGAGCATGGGTTGTGGTGCACGTTTGTCGAGTGGTAGCAGCAATGCTGGCGGCAGTGCTGGAGCCACAAGTGCTGGTACTAGCAGCGCTTGTAATAGTTACACCCGCTCCAATACTGCTTGTAGTGATAATAGCGATGAATTGAATTGGATCGATATATCCGATGCAGAGGCAGAAGACGAGCAGAGAAATATAACAAAACAGCAATTTGTTGTGTAAGTATTTTACGCCATTCCATGAAATGCAAATATATTTAAAATTTTGTTTATTTTTATTGTGAAAGCATATAAAATTATTAAAATTAGATACTGTTTACCTTTTATAACAGAAGCGTATGGGCTTGGTGATAAGAAAATTAGCTTTTCTTATCTTATCAGTAGTGAAACATTAATTAAAAATCGCAATACATGGCGTAAACTTGGAGAATAACTTGGCAAATGTTAACAAAATTTCTTTTTAATTTACAGGGAAAATATTTATTTTTTTTAAAATTGTTTCATTGATTAAAAACTAAAACTTTGAAATCTTAAAAGTTGATGATTTTGAATATATTTTAATGAATACATTAAATATGCAAATAGCCTTAAAAATGCCAATGACAATAATTTCACTGCATGTGATTGATTTGCATTGCAACGAGTATAAATTGATCGCTACCAAGATTTTCAAGACAATTGAGACAATATATATATATGGAACCTATATCCAAATGTTCTCTCCAATATGTTGTTAAAGACTTATGCAGCGAAAATAAACTATTTTCTTACATATTGAAGTGCCATATATCTCGGGGAGTCGATTTTTTCATAATATTGATTGCATTTATAGTATCTTATAAAAAGTACGGCCTTCATAATGAATATCACAACAGATCAAGTCAAACTTCAGCTGCTTTATTAAAATTTTTTATGAAAGCGGTTTTATCAGTTTGGTACATACATATACCATCACATATACAATATACCCTGAGTATAGGTTACATTACATTACTCTTTCTTAAGCCATTTTACCATAAATCCACTCTTTTCTAGATGGTAGATGACAGATGGACACCGCCAATAAAATCTATGCGTTAAATATTATGCGATTGATTTTCAAGGTAGTTGTGAGCAATGCAAACATTCTAATATACAAAAATAACTTACACAGCCAACGAATTTAATGGTCTATAATTATAACCATATTATATCCATTATATATGGTTGTCATTCTAACAACCATGAGAAGGTCTCCATGTCCAACGAATATGAAGAAGCGAATATCAGCGAATATCAAACAAACGAATTGAGTGAATGCTTGCGCCTAAGAGTAAATACTACCGCTAAATAATAAATCAATAAAAATTTAAATAACCGCATACCAGGGCATGGTATGTTGTGATCCTTTAAATCATCCTTCTTGAGAAGTTATTAGTCTTTCTGTCTATTTTCTTTCCAAAGAACTATATTTATAGTCGTGCATCTATCTATTAATATTATCTGCGATAATAATTAAAACTTATTTTATGATTAATTAATTTTATCTTTTCGTTTTAATTTTATAAAAGTATCGAAAGTCATATCGTAGTAAGCTATGACTTTAATGCTATTTTCAATAAATTGCGTTGATTTCAATTGAGCAAATATAACATATATTAGGCAAAATATTTTTATCGTTCCACTTTATTTAATTTGAAAGATAATTCTGAAGACATTGGTTATTGAATAACTAAATTCGTAAAATAACTAAACTATCTTTTAATTATCCAAATTTTTTGGAAGCTGTATTCTACAGTTAATCGTATCTATTCACAACAACAGGTAAGAGATTATTTACTTTCAATAGGCTCCAGATATAAACAATTTACGATAAGCAATACAGGCCGTAACAATATATCTTTCGTTACACTGAAAGTTTACTGTAATTCCGTTATTGACTTTTACAGACTTGTTCTTGGCTGTAAGTATATAGTGATATCAGCCAGTCAACCCTATCAATGTTGTCAGTTGTTGTCACCAATTAATTACATGATCCTTCTGATTTAGTCGAAAGGTGAACTAAGAAGACTAAAGACTAAGACTAAAGCTAAGTCATAGTTTTTTATACATTCATTGAATCATTGACGTGATTTTTGGTATTTATTTAGCCTCTTACAATTTTGAAGCTTTAGTTGTTTATAGAGAACTATGTCCCAAGACTTCCAGCAGATTTATGTGAGAACACAAGTACAAGACCCATTAGCATCGCTTATGTAGCATATTTATTAATATAAATAAAAATTAGTTAAATAAATAGATTGAAATCTCTTTCCGAAATGATCATTTTGCATTTCCGTGAATATAAAATTCGCTTAGAAGCAAGTACACTGTCAGGGAAAGGGCTTAAGTGATACATATAGAATCTTTGACTTGAAGTGCATACATATACCGTCAATTAAATGTCGTCGTCTGCAATGTAAGCCGAGTATATTTTTTATGCAAAAGAATATCAACGGTTGATGCATGTAGTGATTAATGGAAATAATTGTTTTTGACAATGGAATACTTCCTTATGGTTTTAGCTACTCAACCAGTCACAAGATTTAGTGTTGACAGATCACTTTATGTGTTTAAAAACTATAAGTGTATGTGATTGAAGTTGGTCTATTATATCTGTTGTTGTTGTTGTGTGTCTGTGTGATTTCATTTAGTGCTCTTGCTCACTTTAACTCTCTTGTGGCTGGGGGCTTATCCCTGCCCCACATTAAGCTTTAACTATACTATAATTATTATCATTTATTTGTCTTTTAACTGATGACGGACCGTAGATCAGCATATCTTCCTGTGCGTCCTGAGGTGAACTTAAGGTTTGTTAGAGCGGGGTTGGGCAACGTATCAACTTTTGTGAATAATTTTAGGGCTCTATCCTTGATATTGAAAAACATTATATACGATTGCTTCTTGGAATTTTTCGAATTTTAATATCGAAATAAATTTTCGCAAAGAGGCTGATCGGAAGCCAAATAAAACTTTTCCAGAAATTGGTGCAACATTTTTTTTAAAACAGTTTATAATTTTTATTCGTTTTCGATTAGTCGAATTAATAATAATAATGAGAATAATTTTTGTTATTGTTATAGTGTTTAGTATCATTTAATAATTTTTGTTGTTATTATGATTAGTTATGCAAAAACAATAAATGGTTCGAGTTCGTATTGGTTTTCTCAGTTGATAAGTAGTTGCAATTTACACTTTAAACTCAAATGCAAATAATTTCCTTTAAAGCACATATTTTATTGTACACATATTAAGATATAATCATCAAGATATAAAACATCAGCCCACTTAAAGTTTGTTAACCCTTTTCCATATAAAATCCGCCTTTATATGTTACAAAATAAGATTTTCTTTAAATGAACTCATAAAGTGGAATGAATATGAGTATTAAACACTCACATCTACAGTGAAAACTCTTGTAATTATTAAACGCATTTTACTGTTAAGAATACTTAATTAATGTCTTCAGCAAAACCGCAAAGCCTTCAGTATAAACTGTAAAATAAACACTGAATTTACAAAAACAAATAATGAATTTCGCTGCGGAAGATGGCATACCATCAGAAGCATTAAAGGGCTTCTTCCCAGACGCGGAATACGGGTATGAAGAATGTAGAACAAAACTGTTTAATGAAGCTGAGTGACTTGTACAGAATTAACATGAGAATATTTGTAAACACTTCCATGACCATTAAGCTGCACCGAATGAATGAATGAACTTCAATGTTCTTATTGATCAACTCACTGAGTTGGAACATCTGAAACACGTAGTACAGTGTTGAATGCAAATTTATAAGAAGAAGCTAACACTCTATGTGGTGTTTAATTAATTAATTGATTGCATGTTTAATTAATTTGAATTAGAATTTAACACATTTTTTAAATACATTTTTGGTGAATAAATATTGAGCATTATGTGATATTCACAATCTTGTTAGTTAGTTGGGTAGTTATAGATTTAAACAGCATTTTGTTATCGATGTAATAGTCATATATATGGCTAAGTGCTTTCGATTTTGCAAAATTAATTGAAGAGGTTTTTTCGAACAGTAGTGAAATACAACAACAAAAATTTATTTTTTATATTATTTTAATTAATTGAATTTTTGGCTGACCATACAGCTGTTTCGAGTATTGTCAAATACCCATCATCAGTGGTCTTGGAAATAATTCTTGTATTTAATTATTCGTAAATAATTATTTTTTTAGACTGCAAGTACCAGGAATCGAACTCGGTTCCTGTCAAATGAGAAGCTCAAAATCAGCGCACCTTAACCAACTGATCCAAAGTCATACTTGACTTTTTATGTTAGCATATTTTTCTGGAGGTTTGCTACTCTTGCTATGAAAGTTTTTATTAACAATTTTACTTGCAGTGTTTATATTAGAACGAAATCATAAACCAGCTGTAGAATAATTGAATTAATTAATTAATTATAATTTTATTTTCAATTGTTAAATTTCAAATTAATTGAATAAAAAAATTTTGTACATAAGAAAGGTTTCCCACTTTGTCATAATAAATCATAAATGCGATCGTATTAATGGATCAAACAAATTTTTGAGGTTTTCGATATGCTCCTCACAATACACCAGAAACCGAATTACACTCGGAATTAATTCTGGACAATTTCAAGAAAAAAATATCCAAATGCTTTAAGATCATTAAAAAAACCTTCATTAAAAAAATGTTACTAATGTTACAATGGTGTGGAGTCGCGGTTGCGAAATTGCATAAAATTACCAACAAATTGCCTCCTCATTCATCATATTCTCCAAGTGCACCACCAAGCAAGTAATCTACAGAAGTTTGCAAATTTAGAAAATTGATCGGCGGCCCACAATATTGAAGTCCAATGCTAAGAGATTTCATAAATATTATTATGTAAAAGACATCACATGAGTCTCAATATTTTTTAATAGAGTTCCTTTACTTTTTAATAAAATTAAGTGTACGATTTTTTTGATACTTCTATTCTCTTCTACCAAAATGTTTAGTTGCGCAGATGTATAGAGCATCTTTACAGCAAATTCCAAGAACACCTACTAAGAGTGACCATCACAATTTAGCTGAGGAATTTGAAACACTTCTAATAGAACAGGATAAAGTGACTCGAAGTCGTGTTCGGGAAGAAATTATCATCCCGAAGACTACTGCGGGTAGTTGAGTACCCACAATCGATCTTATGACATATGTTAGTAATTTTTTCTGTACTGATAAAGTATTATAATTTTAATGAAAACCAATATATAATCTTACCTTTATTGACATTCACTTTGTGAAGTATTTTTATCTAATAATATGCAATACTGCCCTGTATTTCAGCGTTACTCCTATCATAAATATCTTGACTTAAACCATCTTTAAATGTTTCAATGTTTCTTATCAAAGCTCATAGTCTGTTACTCTTCTGCAATAATGCAGCCCACATTTATCTTACTGCCGTACCCTAGTGACCTAATAAAGGTGTTGATAGCGATAAGATATGCTGGGTTTGTGCAACCAGCAAACTTCGATTTCAATTCAAATTGTTTTGGATTTAATTCTGATGGATTCGATTTTTATCAAACCGTTTTCGTTTTCATTTTATGGAAGTACCGCGATTCGTCTACGTGTTAATGAAATAATTTAGAATGAAGTAATATATACATATTTATATATAAATAAATAATTAAAAAATAAATATATTTTGTTTAAAATTTTGTTTATATTTCTAGTGTACGCGAACGTTTAAAAGTACATCGTAGTCCAGATTGGTCGAAACGTGTCAGAGATAAGCGATTGCAACAGAAAAAGGCGATGAGCTGCATTGAAGGTTAGTTGTGATATCTTTGAAATATATTATTTATATATTATCATAATTATTATTAAAAATAAAAATTAGATCAAGGTTGTGAAAGTGCTTATTATAATAGTAAAAAAATTTCCGGTATTGAAGTGAATAAATGAGTGAAAATTAGTTTTGTGATGATCTAGCCATATATATCTATTTGTATGCCTATCAGTTTAAGTGTAAAATACAGTCTAAATTTGAAAAATGTGAAATATTATTCTGGAGAGGCAACATTTTTCAACTGCTGGATAATGTGACCAATCCATCTTGTATATTTTGCTGTGACAAAACATGACAGTTTATATGTTGAACATAAGCTTTAGTTTGATATTGTGGGGAATTTTGAATAGGTATATTTTTCAAGTTTCAGCGTTTCATACATTTCACAAAATAATTTTCCTTCAAAGATTAAGAGCTGCTTGTAGTTTTGAACCTTCAGTGTTTATACTTTAGTTAATTCTAATTAAGTCTAACTTACTTTTCTTTTCTTTTCTTATAAACTTACTTCTAAAATTAAATATGACAATTCAATCTACAATCAATTCAATATATTCATACAATATTCTGATTTTATGTGATATGAATTTCAAATCCTAATACTTAGTTCAGGTTAATTAATTCTGATAAAAAACAATAATAATAAAATTTATGTACAATATTAACTTAAAGCAAATTTATAAGATATTTTAAATCAGGAGTCAATAGTAATTATCTGAAAATAATACAAAACATTTTTAAGTTTTCACCAATACACAGCATCCAATAGGTTACCTGGTACTTAATGCTCACATATTCTAAATAGCTTATTTAGTTTTTTTTTAATATATCTAAAATTTTATAAAATAAATTGAATTTTTCTTAATAATTGCTATACATTTTTGATAGATAAAACACGCAAATTAAAATAATATTTAAATTTTGAAAGAAAAATATTCCGAAAACACCGATAAGATCCACTGCATTGTATTAGTATTTTAATATATTGGAAGTATTTGTTTTTTGTAATACGTGACTATAAATAATAAATAAATAATAGATAAATAAGTATATAATAAATGGTGTACAATTCTCATATACAAAATTTATTCAAAACAAAAGATACTGTATTTAAAAGTCGGACAATTTGACTTTTTACTATGAAGTCAACTATAGATTAAATTGAATCAAATAAATTAATATTTTGTTATTACTTTCCTAATTCAAATAGTTTATATAAAATATGAGACTAATTTAAAATTTATTATGATTTAAATAAATCTATGTGTAATTTAACAATTAATTTTAATATTATTGTAATTCTTACAAAACTTCTTTAGTACTAGCCGTCAATAATCCCGGCAGCTAGTGACTGTAATATACAATTTATAGCATATAAATGATATTCATTTATCAATTTTTTTATTACTTACTCACTGACTATATTAAAGTAAGTATTACTACACAAAACACAACTTTGCCCTATAACATAGTCTCAATAAGCTCTCATAATGATGAAAGTAGCTAACATAAGTTCCACTGAGTGAGCTTTTCTGTGGTCATAGAGAGATCGTACGATATTTTAAACCAATAGCTTTTAATACCGCCACTTGTCTGTAAGCTGTGCTTGAATACATAAGGAAAACTAATATTTTAAAATTCATTTAGAATATTAAAAGTTAAACTAATATTTATCTAAGATCGCCTTTTGTATTTATACATAATTTGAAAAGTTTCTTTTAATTTATGCATATTAGCATAGACCGTATTTGTACAGTTTTTCAGATCATAAAAAAAGCTGCTGGGTTGGAACGTAAGCTTAAAGCATATCTATTAAACGTTAACATTATACACGTATAGTGCGCTATAAAAGTATTCGTATAAAGCTGCTTGGAATTAGTTGGTTTAAGTGGAGAGTAGAAATAATCGCCTAAATCATATTTTTCTCCATTATTTAATTGAAAGTATTATCATAAAGCTAAGATTAAAATGTGATATCGCTTAAATCCAAATATTTAAGACTCTAAGCTTTTACAAGCATATCAAAACAAGTACATTCTGTGGTATAAATCTAGATATTCATTCACAAATCTTTCAAGAAGTTAAGAATAATAAGTAATATTATTTTATTATTAGCGTTACAAAGTGACCTACAGTTGATAAGAAGTAGCCTCATAAAACAATATAAAATTTTACAGAACAATAGATTAATAAGTAAAACTTAAAATCTCCGTGCAACTGACCGCAGCTTTCCGAAATACCTTCACATATCGTTTTAAAAAGTGTAGATAGTAGATAGAAAAGTGTACAAGTAAATAAATTTGATATTTTTTTGAAATTCCACATATACACACGATTCTTTGCACAAAATTCACAAAAAGTTTTAATAATAATATGTAACATTATTATAATAAAGCCAGAACTGAACGTGTTGTGCGGTTAAACCACATAACTCCAATATATATATCTATGGTTAATCACAAAAAAAATTGGTTACTATGTGGCTACAGATATCAGAGTTAATAGTCTGTGTTAATCATTTCAAAGAAATACTTGACCATCACACCTCCTGATCAAATACCACATCTTAAAGTGACTTGGTATAGATGACATAGTCGTTGAATACTTAGTTATGGATTTTGATTGCCCCAGATGTGATGATATTCTTTGTTGATATATCCACCAACCAGGAGTAAGTCTTAGATTATGCAGTCTTCTGAAATGCATCAACTGCATCATCGCGATTTTTGTTTCATTTCTTCTTTACAATTTGAGCGCACTCAGCGGTTGCTAAACGATTCATATTTTGAAATGGCAAATTTTAGACAAGATATATATGTTATTGTGTTGTGTAATAGTTATGTTCGATCTTTTTATTACTAAAACATGTTCCCAAATCAAAACCACAAAATGGATAATCCTTCATATATATTTATAGGTATTTTTCATTACTGCATTGCTGCTAAATGTGCCAGTAGAAATAATTTGAAGTTTAAATTTAAAATATATAAATTATTATTAATTCAAAATCAATAATATTTGGTTAGATTTTGGTTACTATAGATAAAAATAAAGTTTTTCGAAAGCGTGAATGTGAAAAGGAATTTTTTTATGATATATAGATGTTTTTAATGGTTGTTTTCAAAACAACCTATAATTAAAATATAAGAACTCTACATATACCACACTAATAAATAGTACTCTAATATATTATATGTCACATATTAAAATTTTTAATGTGAATTGATTTTTATATAGGAACTCTTCATATAAGACTCTAATGTCATTTTCGATTGATACTTAAGATTAATTTAAAACACTAGATACTTGGTCAGAGCAATAAAATGAACCTTAAAATAACAGATGATTTTACAGATAAAGTGTGATTTGATTCGTTATATGTATTTATGAAAAATATAAATACCTACTAACATAGCTACAGAATTGTTAGCTTGTTCTAAGAACGATCGATTAGGTAACAAACTTCCACAGTTCCAGAATAAATTTAGATTGAATCCAGATTTTCTAATTAAAAACGCCACAATAAATGATATCCTAATACATCTATTTATTTTTGCTTAGACAATGTCACACAGTAAAATTTAACTTCATAGAAGACCTCTACATATAAGACGCTGTCCAAAACACGTCCCGCTGCTAATGTTTGTGCGGCCCGCGACATGTTTTTAATCTACCACAATTACGCAAAGTATCTTCTGGTGTACTTGTAAAACTACATTATTTTTTTTTTATGGTATGCCAAATAAATAAAAATTTAAATTGATAAATTAATAAAACTAAATTTAACATTATAACCGTATTTAATATTATAACGTATGTATCTGTTTCTGCAGCCCTCTAATGTATGCAGTAATTTGTATTGGCCCACGTACGCATCTGATCTGCACAGCCCTGCTCTAATATATTTATTTATACATATTTAAAAATATATTATAGAATATATAATATATATTTATTTTGCTAAAATATAGAACAATGTCACATATTAAGTTTTTAAAGGTATATTGTGTTAATGTGTCAATGAATTTATTTACCTTTTAGCTGAACATGTGAGGTTACTTTTATTTTTATACTAGCTCCTAATTATTCTGTATTTATCATAATTAATATTTTTACGCTCAAATAAGTGGCAAGAATGGAACTGATCATGTCATTTTTATATAAAAAACTATAACTTCATATCAGTTCACAATGCCCCGCTAAATGTTGGTTTGGAAAATGAGAGTGAGAGCGGAAAGATCAACAAGATTAGGCAGTGAAGTTTTTTATTGTATAGGATGAGTAAGCACGCAACCAGTTAGTACAGAAAAGTCACAAAGCCATAAAAATATGTTAGATTAATACAAGTATCTGAGTATCTCTAATGCAGAATAGAATCCACAAAAGGTGATTCCAAACTTGTTCGGCGCACAGCTATTGGCAAGTCTTGTTATTTATTGTTTATACGTGTAGTTCGCTCCCAAAACGGGAGAGCAAGATCCAACATCAACGGAGCAAAGCTGAGTAAGCCAAACCACAAGCATCGAACAACAGAAAAAAACTGGGCAACAGAACGACATGCAATTGCCATTTTTGCCGCTCCGAAGCCTTTTTAGTTGTACACGCTCTGCTCTGTTGTTTGGATGTGCGGGTTCGGAATTTCGCTATCGGTTGGGCTTTTATAGAAGCCGTCGTGGACGTGCAGTGCGCATTCAATTTACATGTAAATTAAAACAAAACAGAAAAAAGTAAAATGTCATAGGAATTTTGCAATTTTGCAAACTTGCGTTCCAAACATTACAAGCCCACGGCGATCGACAATAACAGCCGCGATCGTTGCACAGTGCATTTCTTAAAAATTTCAAGTTAAACGTAAATGGAATGAAATTTTTTTAGAAAATATAAAATGTGTGTTTTAGGAAATTTTTGAAAATATCTCTAAAATTTAAAACCTCTCAAGAATTTTAAGTGCGTTATGATTTTGTGAAGTGCATTTCAATGAAAAG